GTGCAGTGGGAAGGTAGATTCAAGGGATTTTCTCCATGTGTGAACCCACTGGCACAGCAGAAACACACCCCAGAGCTGTCGGTGATGTTAAGAAGAAAGGCTTCACGTCAGCTTTGCGCTTGCCAACAGTTCAGTTGCACATCTTCAAGCTGCCGCGGTTTTTATCTTCGCTTGACATTGCTCAGTGCTAGTTGTCAGCTGAGCCCGCGTGAGCAGCAGCGTCCCTGCACGCGGAGTTGTGTACAGTTTAGTTGTGCCGCCCGTCCTTCCAAAGGCACAAGTCCCATTCCAGTGATCACTGCCTGATTTCCAGTCAGCTCTGGTTTCATTTTTAAGTCTCAAAACTACGCACAAACCTACCCAGGAAGATAATATAGCAGTTCCAAACACTCTTTTATTACCCTAAAATAGAATAACGATTCCCACCCTCTACATCTCTGATACCCTCGTCTCTTAGAACTTTCCCCGCACAGAAATCCTGAAGCAGGTTATACAGTGAGGAACACACATCCATAAACAGAAGCGTACTAGGTAAACCAATTATTTATCAGGACCGCTCTCTGGATGTATCCTACAAATACTGCAGAGCAGAACAAAACCACACTTGTGTATTGCAAAGCAGCACACCTGCAATTAAACCCGCCCTCCCAAGATCTTTTGCAACTCTCCTTTCAGTTCCAAAAATAAACCCCAAACACGCCTCCATTCCCTTTATCCTCCGCAGTCTCTTTCTCAATCCAGATCTATTTTCCAACTGCTTCTCTTCCCACCTAATTACTTTTTCCTGCCACCCCCCAACCCCCTCCCCTCCTCTCCCATCTCACCCTCTAGCTTGTTCCCCCCCAGCCAACACCAGTGACTTCTCCAGCCAAGCCCCGCTCCCGCCCAGGGCCCGTCCCGCAAACCAGCCATTGCAAGAGAGGGACCGATGTTCATTCAGTAGGTTTCAAAGAATTGGGAATTTGCATCCAAGTGAAAGAAATACTACATTTTATTTTTTTTTTCTAAGGAAAAAAAACAAACCTAAAAGCCCATGCATTCTGTCACGGTGCCTTTCAACAAGCTGGGTAGTCCCTGGCCCACCTGGTCTGCAGTTGGGATGAAGAAGCTGCCCCACTTTGGGCTTGGCCACGCTGCCACTTACCAGAAACTCAACCAAAGACGCACTGGAAGCTTCTAGGAAGGCAAGTGGAAGGAGATGTCCACGTTCAGTGACAAGGCGGCACATCAGGATGAAAGGTCAGTGCGGGAAAGCCCTCCGACTCCACGCCAGCCCCTCGCTTGGTGGCTTAATGACAGCAAAGCTATGGAGACAGAAACCATATAGCCGTGCAGCGTACAGCCAAAGTCACCTTGCACATAACTTCTAAAATTACTTAGAGAAGTCCAGCAGTGAGGCATCCTTTTCAATTTTGTTAAGTAGTAAAAGTCAACAGCTGAAGACATCTTTAGATGGAGCACTGGAGAAAGAGATACACCATTATTTCATGGGTTTTCCAAATGAATTCATCTGCGTGAGAAGTGACCTGTCCAAAGGCAAATGCCAGTATCAACTCCATTTCCAAAGCACTGTCCCTTCTACGATATGGTATAAAAATGAATTTCTTAATAAAATTCATTTCAAGCCCCTGATGGCCCTATGAATTTGGTGACAAGTTCGATCACTGCAGTAATTCTGGAAGTTTAATTAAAGCTGTGCACAAATACAAACAGGAACTGTAGGTAACATCACAAACCCTTGAGGTTCAGAGACTAACCATAATAAGGTAAGCTCTTGTCAGGAAAAGCTTGATTTTGCATAAACTGGGAAGAAGTTCCTGCTCCATCTTGCACGCTGAAACGCTGGAGTTTTTCAGCATACTAAGTAAGGCACAGCTCGAACATTCAGCCCAACTGAAGTATCTGCATCCTGAAAATTCTTGGGACAACCAGGACATTTTTAATCCCCTGGTAAGACTGAAAATTTACCTGGAGGTAATTGGCTACAACGGTGCCAGGGAAGCACCTTAAAGCTGATGCTGTTGGGGTTGCCCTCCTGCCGAACATCAGCCGCGTGGCAACTGGCATCCCGCTCTCTGATCCACAGAGGGGAGACCCGGGCAAGCATCTGGCTAGCCCCCACGAGGGGCTACTGAGAGGCTCAGCCCATCAGGTGCATCACACCCATATGGTATGACACATGGTATGAAGCTCCTGCGTCAGCAGTGAGGACCGCTGTTGGACTGACGGCTGGAAGAGAGCGCTGCCTGGAGCCCCGGGCCAGCCCGTTCCAGCGTTGGCTTTCCACAGAGCACAGGCTGGAGGGCTCCTGGGCCGCCGTGGCCCCATCTCAGGCTACGGCCTGGCCTAACAGAACAACAGCCCAGTCATGAGTCCACCAAACGCTATTCCTTAGCTAACTGAACTGTGCTTGCTCCTGATGGCTGTTCCCAAAATAAATCTTTTTAGCAACAAAAGCCTTCCAGGCTTTAAAAGGTGCTGCTCTGCTCATGCAGACTCACATGCCAACGCTCGTTTAGAGCTAAACGGAAGTATTCCTTCACTCCTACTGAAATCTGAAAAACATGCTGATTTGTTCAGTACCTCAGATGATTCTTATCAGTATCTTGCATTACTATTATTTTTGAGGCATGTGGTGCTACAAAATACAGATAAAGGCCTGATATCTCCTTCGCACCAAGGTTGGAAACATCTTGGCAGTCTACTAGGGTGCAGAAGGAAATGCTCAAAGGCATTTGTCACTTGTCAAATGAGACAATGCTGAGACAGCCAAAATACTTTCTTGTTAACAAATTAAGGACACCTTGAGGAGAAGGCACTGGCCTCAGACTGCTGCCTTAGAAGAGGTGTCTTCTGTCTACTTGAGAGGTGTATCAGTGCCACCTAAGTACACCGAAGTTTCTGAGGTAAGCTCTGCAGACCTGAAATTTGCTAAGCGCTGCTGAAAGACTAAGTGAGAAAGACAGACATGCCAGGTATGCCTGGAGCCCAGAAAAAAAGAACTTGAAAGGGGATTTTCCCCACTTTGACAAACCTTTCAAGCAACAGAAGACTGACTGGAACTTCTATAGGGCAGCAGAGGAGCCTGCAGCTACAAGACTTCAAAATTTATTTAGTTTAGACCTTATCAGCTGCTGCTGCTGGACAATTAGCACATTTACAACACCACTAAGGAGATAAGGTTTCAATACAGTGGCATTTTGGGGGAGGTGGTATATATTTAAATGGGAAATCTGCCAAATAGGAAGTATTTACGTCTTACCTGAAAACGATACCTTGAAAAACAACTTATGCTTTTAAAGGCCAATACAATTATGTATTATTTTAATCTTAATGCTAAAGGAAGACAGAAGAAGTATATTTACAATGTCAACACTTCAGTCAGGGAAGTTTGTATTGCTACCCAATTACACAGTCTGCCCAGTTTTTGGACCTATATAAAAAACCCAGCATGAATCTTACACACTTGTCAGCTGGGCATAACCACTAATCCTAGTGACATCAGAATAAAAGAAGTTATAGGCTTATAGCTTAACAGTATTAGACCATTGACACAGCATATACCACACAGCGGTATCGTGATGTGCTTCATACTTGTAACAAAATACCTTAAGGCACTTGGCAAATCTTCTCACCACCTAACGATGCCCCAAACCTGAAGGAATCGTCGAGCACTGTTGTCGGCCGCCCTACTGAGAGGGAGGATATCTTGTGTTTTCCTCTCCAGGGTGTTTTCCTCTTCAATGAGGTGAGCACTGAAGAAGGCAGGCCCTCAGTGCCACCTCAAGATCAAAGACCAGAAGACAGCCAGCACCTCTCCCACCCCAGCGAGTTTCAGTCCCTGCGTCCAGGCCGCCTTGCACCAGCTTGGATTTGAAAGGACCCCACATCACTACAGTTCCCTTCTGCGGAGTTTTACGTACCTGTAACCCTTAAATTATGCTGTGCTACAATGTTTTCTAATCAAATAATTTAATATCCAATTTATCAAAGTAACGAAGTCACTTACTTTCTTTTTCACTGAACCGTGGTGAAAAAAAGGTCACTGGTTTATTCAGCATCATAGTTACATAGCAGTTGTCTGTTTCTATTACTAGAAAGAATTTATTAAAATAGTCCTGAAAGACATCTTTTCTTTCTGCAATGATTCCAAAACTATGCCTTTTAATGCCAATTCCACACAGTCACGGGTTTGATGGGTAGTAGTCGGTTATAGCAACTGTCAAGGCACAAGCTCAGCTCTGCACATCTGCTGCAGCTTGTATTATAAGAGAGATATGCCAGTTACGTCTCCACTTAAACAAACATAATCCCTTTATCATATATTGCAACAGGAGAAATTAACATTAAACACAGACTACGAAAGGTAAAGGATTTATTTCTGATATGATTTGTAGAGTTAAATTAAAAACCTACTGAATACTTTATGTAGATGAACATAACCTTAGTACTTATTTTCTAACAGTTTATTTAATGGTTGGAAGTGTACAACATGAAGTAGGCCTTACGTTTAATATTGTTCAATTTCGCTTATTGTTAGATGAGATTAAAATACAGTAGCCATCCCTTTAGATTATGTTGCAACACTGATCATGTGCCTTGATAAGTAGGAACAACAATTCATTAAATAAATGGTGATGACATAACACGTAGGGAAGACTTTGGATTGTCTATTTAAAATGTCAACATAATAGGCAATTAAGAATAAAACTTCATTTTAAGTGCACTTCCACATGCTTTGTTTATAATATAACAAAAACTTCCTATCTTCTTTCCAAACACTTCACTCCCTACTCTAAAGCTGTTCAGTTGAAAATGCACTTTCCCCAGTAAACTTCTTGTTTTAAAAAAGTAACTAAAATTTCTACCCTTTCATATGCTAAGAAATGTTTCCTAATTAAAAACACAGTTTATTACAAGACATGTGAAGACAACATATAGTGAAATGAATTTTAATTGTTGTGCTGTGACTAAAGTAAAGTTCTCAAGGCTGCAATTTAACATTCCGAGTTCTCCCTTCCATCTTTATTGATTCTTAAGATTTTGCACAGAAACTCTTTGGGGGCTAGAACAGCAGTAATTGCATCACACTGTTTTCCAAGACTTCAAGTTTCAAAAGCAAACTCTTCAAAAAGTACAGTTCTTGATTTGATTAGATACAGGGACAAAAATATAGCACATACTTGAAGGTTACATGGTCTACAAATGATGGCAATATTTTCCTTGGGAGAGTACAGTTTGTTTTCTTGTAAATACTCAAAAAGGCTCAACTTCAAGCAGTAATAAACACAAGCAAAAGTGATTTAACCCTTAAAATAAATATTCAGGAAAACCTCTCTGTACATACAAGTGAAAGAATATGTAACACTTTCACGCTAAAAGAAAAAAATAAAGATTTTGTTCATATAAGCAGCTGAAATCTGCTGTTCCAGCCCAATGTCCCCAGTAAAGAAGGGAGGCACAAACACAGGTGACTACTGTAGCTCACTATCTTATGGCCTTTTTGGACAGGGACATCATCACCATCATTTTTTTTAATCCCTTTTGTTATATTGATTACAGCATGCCAAATCCTTTGGCATATGTGATAGCCTTCAATAATCTTTCTTTAAGCTTTTCTTTGCTTGAGTACTCCGGAAGCAAAAGTACATTAAAGCATGTGTGAGATGTAGGTAACCTGTGGGGAGAACAAAAAAAGAATTATTCAGATCTGGGAACGCACAGTACGTGTAAAGAAATACATCGCTATTTCACAAATCCAAAATCATCAATTTAAAGAGTGTCTACTTTGCTGAAAGATTCAACTTCCACGTTTAATTAAGTTAATAATGAAAAGCACAGAACTTGCTTCCATTTATAAGCAAAGAAGCAAAGTGTAGATGATTTTTTTTTTTTTTTTTTTTTTACCTCTCTGTATCTGGGCCATTTTTGGCTATGATCATCTTTAACTTTCCAAGTCCTCCCACAGGGGCTCTGTCTGTGCCTGTTGTAAACTGTAAGAATAGTCTTTTCTGTTCATCCGTAAATGAATGGACTATTTCCCAGAATTCCCTATCAAGGAAGAAATCAAAAAGTAAGTAAACTGAAAACATTCTTTGGTATAAATGAGACTTTCAGAAGTAATTGAACTTTGAAGATTTAGTAATTCTAATAAATCTTAACATCTGTTTACAAGTTGCATTCATAAACCAAAACTAACAGTAATGTATTTACTAATCGATAGAAGTTGAAATCAGAAATATTACCAAGACACTGCAGTTTAACTGTTTCTAAATGTTAATTTGGCTGATAAAGATGGGCAAGTGTTCCTCCTTTATTTTATGATTCCTACTTCCTAAGGAATTAATACTGGTTCCACTACACAGTCCCTATCTACCACCTTCTTTAGCACCACAGTAAACCGATGCAGCTGCTGACAAAGGTTTTTCTATCCTAGCAGGAACTAGTTAAGTAGTTGGCAAAGTCAGAGGACCAAAGATGCACACTTCACTGACCATAGTCTTCAGAGTTCTCTAGTCAAAGGGGACAAGAAAGTAAAGACATAAAAAACCCATTGAATTTACCTGATTTCTAATTAGAGAATAAAGTTCTACACACGCAAGCTATTGAAACAATTCAGCATTTGTGATTTTTTATTTTTTTTTAAACAGCAGAGGAGTGGTAATTTATTTGAGCCCTGTTTATACTGGGGATTATTTAACTAAATGGTTGTGCTGGTTTTGGCTGGGACAGAGTTAATTTTCTTCACAGTAGCTGGTACGGGGCTCTGGTTTGGATTTGTGCTGGAAACAGCGTTGCTAACACAGGGATGTTTTCGTTACTGCTGAGCAGTGCTCACACAGAGCCAAGGCCTTTGCTGCTTCTCACACCACCCCACCAGCGAGTGGGCTGGGGGTGCACAAGGAGTTGGGACATAAGAAGAGGGCACACAGCTGGGACACCTGACCCAGACTGGCCAAAGGGATATCCCATACCATATGATGTCATGCTTAGTATATAAAGGGCTGGGGGAAGAGGAAGGAAGTGGGGACACACACATTTAGAGTGATGGTGTTTGTCTTCCCAAGTAACCGTTACGCATGATGGAGCCCTGCTTTCCTGGAGATGGCCGAGCACCTGCCTGCCCATGGGAAGTGGTGAGTGAATTCCTTGTCTTGCTCTGTTTGCATGCACAGCTTTTGCTTTACCCATTACACACTCTTTATCTCAACCCACAAGTGCTCACTTTCACTCTCCCGATTCTCTCCTCGAACCCACCAGGGGAGAGTAAGTGAGGTGCCGGCTGGGGCTAAACCAAGCCAATGGCGTAAGAGAGACAAAAAAAACTCAGGGAAAAACGTCTTTTAAGCTTTACTAAAGTTCACTGGAAGCTAAAGACTATGCATATACTATCTGCTCTTTTCTAATGACAATACTTGAGTAAAGTGAAATTATACATAAGACACTTGCATCTCCAATACTACAAAAATACTAAATCTTACAGTATTAAATTCGTTATGAAGAAACAGGCATGTAATGTGCTTTTAACCTTTCAGAAATTAGAAAAAATTACCTAATAATAAGAGAGTCTCTTGTATAGCCACCATCATATTCTGTAGTTTCTTCTAGTGCTTGAAAATCTAAATTCTGTAAGAAGATGACATTTTTAAAAATGACTACCAATTATACACTCAGAATCAAAAACCTCCACTTTTTCTGGTGTACATTCAGGATTCTTACCCTACTTCCACAAATAAGTAATTCGATTTCCTCTGGTCTAAATAAATATTTCAAAGGAGATTCATTGGTCACCATGTGGAATCCTCTCCGAAAGGCCTTGAACTGCTTCTCTACCGATTTATTGAGTATATAGTCAGCATACAGATTGACAAATTCCTGTAAGGAAACAATCCCAAAAAATCCCCTTAGTGCTTGGGCATACACTCCACCTGAAGTAGCTCCCAATAATGCAAGACCCCAAAATACATTTAGTTCTATAATTCTACCCAGATTATCTGGATTCAGCTTCTACTGAGCAACAGTAAAGAGCAAGTCTCAAATATTTCTCAGGTCAAACACCACACCCAGAAGCTATGTATGCACGTATCAGTCCTTTCTTTAAAACAACCACTGCCCGCCCCCCTGCCCGCTTTCTGCTTACAACTGCACTGTGCTACAGAAATTTTAAAAGGCTTTTAAACTTAAATAAGTGAGGCCAAACCTTTATAGAGTCCTATGTAATCCTGCATCGAGTATCTAAAAATTGCAAAGTAAATTTAAAAAAATTATTTGAGTGTACCTTTCTATTTTCATTTGTAATAGGAATTTTATCACCGTTTTCCTTTAAATCATGCATCATTGGATTGCCAAAGAGATCCGTATGAGATATTTGAAACGTTATCATCATATCGTCTTCCACACTTCCTTCATACTCTAGTAAGTCTCTCAAACTCTGGTAAAGAACCTAACAGTAAGAAATACATGTCTGTCATAAGTTTCAACAGATTTCACCAAGTAATACCAGAAGACACAAAACCATCTGCCTCAAAAAGGGTTGTTATATTCTATGACACAAGTCACCTAAGATCTCCCATAGCAGTCCAGAGGTGTATTAAGGTCAGTGTTCGTACAAACAACCTACAGCAGATATCAAGAAAAGACAAAAAAGAAACATGGCAATAAGCGGTAACTCCCTTAAAAGAGCCTGTCAGTACCCAGGAATCTTCCTAAATGCAATGGTCAGACCTGCAGCTTAAGAGCCATTGATTCCTTTGACTCTTCCTCCTTTAACTCTTTTGAAACTGTATTTACTTTTGGCATCCAGAACATGCTACACTAGTAAGTAGAACATGTATATGTTAAAATCAAAAGAAAGCACTGTATTTTATATCAGGTAAAAATCAGGTAGCAGGCTTTTATCTCCCACATCTTAATTTAAAACCCTAACAAACTAGGAAGTAATCTTGAAGTAACATGGATGGGGCAGTGTCCTGGTTTCAGCTGAGAGGATTGATTTTCTTCATAGCAGCTAGTGTGGGGATATGTTTTGGATTTGTGCTGGAAACAGCGTGGATAATATAGAGATGTTTTTGTTCTATGGACTTATTGTTGAGCAGTGTTTACATGGGGCCAAGGCCTGTTCTGCTTCTCGCACTGCCCTGCCAGCGGGATGGCTGGGGGTGCACAAGGAGTTGGGAGGAGACACAGACAGGACAGGTGACCCCAACTGACCAAAGGGATATTCCATACCATATGGTGTCATGCTCAGTTTATAAGGAGCTTGGGGGAAGGGGGAGGGGGGGTGGTGGCGTTCGGAGCAATGGCGTTTGTCTTCCCAAGTAACCGTTACGCGTGACGGAGCCCTGCTGTCCTGGAGATGGCTGAACCCCTGCCTGCCCATGGGAAGTGGTGAATGAATTCCTTGTTTTGCTTTGCTTGTGCACGCGGCTTTTGCTTTCCCTATTAAACTGTCTTTATCTCAACCCACGAGTTCTCTCACTTTAACTTTTGCAATTCTCCCCCCCATCCTGATGGGGGGGAGTGAACGAGCGGCTGCATGGTGCTCAGCTGCTGGCTGGGGTAAAACCACGACTGGCAGTCATTAAAGTAAGAAAACATCTATGCACAAAAAAATCAATAATAAAAAATCACAAGTCTACTCAAAGGAGCAACCAGCCTTCCTCCCCTGCTATGCCTAAGGAAAAGGCCCAAGACTCTCTTGGAAACCAAAGGCTATGCACAAAAGGAACAATTCTTTGGCTGAAACAGAGGTGTAGGACTCAAAGCAAAATGAAGGTAAAAGCAACAGCTGAGGGCAACTATATTTTATAGTGAGGTCAAAATAATAGGTTTCCCCTCAATGTTTTAAAGTTTACATGTAAGCCTGTATCCTTTTGATCCTTCCACAACACCTTTAAAAATACCTTGCATTGAAACTGATGGACTTGGAACCACTGGTGGTGAGGGCTGGTGAACACCCTGTCCTTCATGCTCTATAGCACTGGGTGGCTTGACTACTCTGATTTTCACTTTTGGTTTGAGAAGCTCTGAGTGTTTAAGTCATATTAGAATGCAAAGAGTTTTAAAAGGATGATTTTAAATGAAGTCAGTGTAGGTGTCCGAGGAGAAACACGAGTAGTGGAAAGAAAATTAAGAAATGCCCTGACCACCTTGTTCCACAGAAATAAAGCCACTTTTTCTGTCACAGAAATTGTGAGTTTATTATAAAAATTACAGGAAACTGGGAGCACTGTGTATTTCTCAACATAATTTTACAGAGAATCTGGGCAAAGATGGCATGCTGTTATACATACATAGTCATTTGAAGCAGGCTGGATAACCTATCTTTTGGTTACACATGCCTCATTTTCTGATTAATAAAAATAAAAGGCAAGTTCTTTTTAAACAGTATCATGTTACTCGTCTTTCTGTGATTAGCTGAAGATTTTGCATAACTGCTTATGAAAAGGGAAATGTCCCACCATTTGAAATGAAATGAAGCATACTAATAACTCAGATTAGCTAGCATGAGGGAAAGCTACTGGTGATCTTTGAAGACGGAGCAGGGCCAACACATCCTGCATACATGCTTCTGTGCTACATCTGCTAAAGCACGTGCACGGTGTAGTGTTTTCGTATAGGCCCTGGCTGGGGAGGGGGAAGATGGATGCTGATCGCTGCTCTTAAACTGTAGGAATATTCATCAACTGCCTCACCTGTCTTTTGCTTTAGACAAAAGCCAATATGAGCATCACACCTACTGTTACTTTCCCTTTTTTTTTTTTTTGGTAGAAATCTACTTCTACAAATAGACACAAACAGCCTAATTTTAGATGTCTCTTTGGGAAGATACTATTAATAACAGTTCATGCTTAGTGATATTAGGCAATTTAGGCAATATGTAAAAAAAAAAAAGAACAAAGGTTTAATGACACCCAGCCTTATTTGTTGACTTGACAATTCTGCCTCCTCCAAACCAGATGTAGTAAGAGGTTTTATTGCTTATGAATTTACCTTAACAAAAACAGACTCTTCACACAAGTCACTGGTTATTTCACTTCCACTTCTGACAGCGATTTTGTGTTTAATTTAAATCTAGATTAAGTTATTGCATGGAAAATGCATTAATAAACTCAAAGAACATAATGAACTTACAGGATGAGAGTCTGCCAGATCACGGAAAGTTCCTTTTTTGCCCATTAGCTTCCTGTAGACAACCATGGGAAAATGTACATCCAGTATACAGTTATTGTAAATAGCCAGACCCAGTACTATGCCAATCAGTGTAAACTGACCCTCAGTTTCAAAAGAGGACGGATTAAACCAAAACAGTTTTGTAGATTCATCGTATGTGAACATCCCTGTAAAAAAATGATGTTGAACAATTACAGTTACATTTCAGTAAAAATGACATGCAAAACATACCACTATAAATCCTTTTGCATTAGAATGCCTCTAAAACATGTTTAACTTAACATTACAGTGAATTTAAGAGCAAAGAGAAGCTACTTACCTTAGGGGAATTGGAGCTGCTCAAAACACTGTTACTCACATTACCACTAAAGTGCATGCAGGAGACCTGCGCTACAACACCCTGCAACGCCCACTGAAGCTGTACAGAGACAACGTTTCATCCCCTTCCAGTACTGAGGAAGCAGCATTACATTGTCAACACAGATGGTAACTTTGATAAATACAACAGTACAAGAAAAAAACACCAACCCACAATCAAAAACCACGTGGATGAAATAATCCTGAAGGACTCAAAGTACTATAAAGCAATAGCCTTTCCTCAAAGGCTTTTCCAGGCCAGGTTCAGCAAAGGAACAGGACTAGATGCAGCCCTATTACTGAATTGGAAATGATGATAATGGAGCAGGGATTAACCGTCATGTATGACTTTAGATGTTTAATAGATTTTGTTTGTTTGTTTAAAGGTACTCAATGAGGTCCACTGAGTTGCAGCAGCTATCGCATACACCCTAACTTGAGGGGAAAATGTAATGTGGGACTGTTGTTTCACAGGCAGGGTTGCAAATTTAATAGCTTGTCACTGTTGAAAGGGTGAGGTTTTGCTTTGTTCCCCTATCCCTTCATCTGATTCAGCTATTTCAGGTGACCAGTTTCCTGCCAAGTTCACAAGCTGACACCTTCGCAGAAGGCTTCAACAAACGGCTGAACTGGCACATACCAGGAACTGGAGGAAGCGGATAGAACTGTACAGACAGGAGAAGGGCAATGAGTCCCTGACTCTTTTGGCTGTAGCAAGCCACTCGATTAGCTTTTGTTTATGAAACCAGAGCTTGTGCGCAGGCTATAAACTACTTAAATGTGTCCCAAGGTAAAATACATTGCTTAGCTGAAGCAAGATAAATGCAAAACCCATAGACTTAAGGGAAGGGAGAGACAAGTATAGTCCCAGTGACCTGTTGCTTGTACAGCTAAGTCTCATGATTTCCAGGCAGAACCTAAGAAAAAGCATCCAGGCTTCTTCCTCCTCACACACCAGAAGTTAGACGCATGTGGTCAAGAACATGAACTACATTTGCCACAAGGATTTATCTTGTCAGCTCTTAAAAGATATGCTTATTTACAACCTACGGAGATGTACAAATTGATTACAAAGTCACATGAACAGAGCCACAAAATAACTCCTAAGACTGAAAATAAGATGTCACCTTCAGCCAAGAGATAAAGCCTGAACTGTCATTCAATGTAAAGAATCTCATTCAGAGACTGGCTGTTCCCCAAAATTGAAGATTATTTATCTCAGTAAGGTACGAGAACAGGCTCAGCTATCAGGGGAGCACACAAATAACAGACGAACACATTAGGTAAGGCAACAGGAAGTCAGAAATAGATAAGCAACAAAATCATATATAGCAGAAACATTAAATAGAAGCCTGCATTCCATTTTCTGAATTGAAGTAACTTCTGGATTACTGGCACAACAAAAGCACTTTAGGGAAGGTGAGGGAAGAGTTAAACAGTCAAAACAAACAACTCCAGCAAATGTCTAATAATGAAGGACTAACAGTTTACCCAGATCCACATCTGGAAACACTTTAATGTTAAATGCAATGTTTTATTCACTGAACAAAATGAAGACTACAGTACATTAAAATCATAATTAAACACCAGAAGAAACTGGAAGCTCCAATAAGGGGAAAACAATTGTATAGTGTTGCTAGGAATATTATATGAAGTTATTCCTTCTTCCCTTTTACCATGGTGACTGTTGGTCATAAATCTAATATTTTGTCTGAGTTATTGTCTCCTTTGAGTAAAACTGTAATGTAGTTTAATATGAAAACACTTGAAATGTAATGGCAAAGAAACTATAACAGCAATAAATGTCACTCCACACATACTTATCAGAGGACAGACATTTTAAATTCCATTTAAAGGATTTCCTTCATTTTCACCAGTAAATAAAGTGTTTTCAAATCAACAAAAGTCACACTTGGTATATATGTAAACTTTTATACTGCAGTGCATATTAGTAGGTGCAAAAGAAAAGACAACTGTGAAAGCAAGCTACATTCTCTGCTTTTACACATTTATGCCAAAAGCCACTAAGTGCCTTTTTTCCCCAAAGTTGATAGGAATAGAAAAAGCATACATACTGTTTTGTCTTTTGAATACAGAAGTAAAATTTAAAACATGCATGCATATCTAATCTTTTACCAATCTTTACACCCAGGGAGTGTATGTACACTGACTGGATATTAGCTGAATCAGACTTCAATTACTAAATAGGAATATTTCCATACAGCCACTCCATACAACTTCTGTTCAGACAAACTCAGGACAAAAATGTATTTCACATTGGAAATACAACATCAAAGTACTACGACTTCCTTATTTTGCCATACTCTAATTTACTCCAAGTAACCTTGCTAACTCAGATTCCAAATCTCTCCAAGTTCACAGCAGTTGTCAGAGTAAGACTTGTCTATGGATCTGTAATGACTCGTAACAAGAACTGGCTTGTGTACAGTGAAGGGTAGGTGCAAAGGTTCAGATTCTGTTACTGATTCTGAGGACTTCCTCTTTAACCCAGTCAAAATGAATTTCTGTGTTTCTTCATCAATTTTCTAAGCTACAAAACAAAGAACGATGACTTTTTTAAAACAGTTCAATGAACCCAAATTAACTAATGGCCATAAGCTGTTGAGCTGTTCCATTACAGGAACTACAATTTAACATCATATTTCACATAACTATGAAATTAGTATAGGAACCTGGTAGGTCTCATTTCTATTCTAACATAAAGTATTCATAACATTTTAAAACATTTTAATCTTTTCAGAGCAGCAGACAAGCTGCATACTAAAAGCAGCAAGTCCTTGCATGTATAAAGACAGAAGTATAGAAGACTGGTGCAGGGAACAAGGGTAAAAACAGCAAGATGGAAATGTAACCTAGAAACACAAATATAAAACTTACTCCTAGTTCTTAAGTAACTACAAGCAAATTTGACATTACCGCCACACTTTGGATCTGTACCCCTTTTAGATGAATCATTAGAAGATCTGAGGCTATCAGATTTTTTTAAGCTGGAGGAAGGGGAGGAAATAACTCAAAGACTCACCATAGTCCTACTCTGGTTTTATTGCAGAAGCTCTTCCTCTTTGGTTTGATTACTAATTCTAGGAGCTAATCACAAAGCAAAATGAGGAGAAAGGTGAGAGAACAAAGGAACCCTGGAAAGAAACCCTGTGCTACTGATTTACATCTAAACAACCAACGCTACCTTTCACTAACTATACACTGCTAGTTCTTTCATCATTGCTCCTTAGGAGGATGACTGATGAATGACATAGTGAGCCTGAATGGGTGAAGTAGTCTCATGATCACCAAGGAACTTGAAGAGCTTCAGAGAGAAGCAGCAGCAGATGTAGAAACGCACTGCATAAACACAGCGCAGCCCACATTGGAAGGGACCTTGAAAGATCATCTGGTCCAACCTTTTGTGGGAAAAGTCTGATCAATTAGTAAATTATTAGAACACATACCAATATCTGGATTGAAGATTTCTTCCACAACCAGTTGAAAAAATTCTTTGGAAACACCTCCTTCATCTACCCCTTGCTCTCCTTCAAATTCAACATACAATTGCTTCTTCAAGTCTGCAGGATTTTCCATGGCAATCATCTCTAGCTATTGAGTGAACAGATAGAAATATTTCATTAGTAAATCTGTTTACTAGAATAGGCAATTGAGTGTCAAATAATGAAGTCAAAACTACCCTCCAAACCTAAGAAAGCAAGTATAAATCACAACAGTAAAATGTCAAAAAACAATAGTAACACTAAATCACTAAGCACACACTAGCATTTGGGGATTAACGCAGCAAGAAACTTACCACAGATCTGATCTGTTAGCCAATTAAGTCTGTTAGTCACCTCCATTTCTATTCTTTTAAGTGCTTATTTTATATGTTAGCACTGTGTTGCACAAAATTCACAGAAAACAGTATGAAAACAAGACGTATTACTAGGATAATTAAATTCATCTGAGAATGAAAAGAGTCTGCAATCTAATCTGTGTGTTTGACAATGAATGGTTTTGTGAAAGGATTACACAGACATGTTTTCAGAAACTTCATTTGAGAAGTTACAGTGAACACAGAATACAAGCCTTTGACTAGTAGTTGCATCTCACCAAAGAGCTGGGGAAAAAACAACAAAACAGACCCCAAACACCCCCCCCAACAGAAATAAAAAGATTAACATTACAGTCAAATTGATCCCTTTTCCTCTTGACCCTAATGAAGAAGTCTCAGAAATCTCTTGCTCTTACTTCTTCAGTGCCTTTAAACAGATCTACCACATTGCTTCCATGAAAGTGAAAATTCAGTCGAGGTCAAACAGCTGTGACATTTCATAGAAAAGGGTTTCATGTCTATATAAAAGCCAACAAAAGTGTATCCTTTCAGTAAATCAAAAGTTATGCAAGAATATTTTCCAGCTGATAAGAAACATGTTGCTTAAAAGCATAAACATATTGGTTAAACCTGTGCAGCATGATTACATTAAACATACCTACGTGGGAAAGAAAACTCAACAGCATTAAAGTAAGGCACAGATGGACCTGTACATTCCTCTGCCAAAACCATATTACTGGCGAGATTCGCCTCTAATCTGCGCTAGCACAAACTGTACTCACCAGCAGGGGTCCTTAACATGCTGAACCATTGCTTTTTATTTCACTACCCTACCTTATCCACACACACGCCAACATATTGTAATTTTACTACAGAAGTGTAAAGGAAAACAGGAACAGAACACAGAGGATAAAGGCAGCAATAACGACACCATCAACTCAAAATGACACCACCAGTAAGATACATCTCCCAGTAACTGCCAAGTCAGCCAGCCATGCTGCAAGCAGCACAGCATGGGTAGCCAGGTGGTTATTTGAAGACTTTGAAGCTCCTCATGCAAAAGGATCACATGGGGAAAGAATTGCAGTAACTGGGACTGAAAACTAGTACCAGGAAGAGTGTAACTCCATAGCACATAAAGCTGAGTTACAAAATTGGGAGGCAAGCCACGAAGACCCATTAACGAGAGCAAGTACCTAAAGTATTTGGTATTCTATTGCATATCATTTGCAATGAACTATTTTTGCACCTAAGGAGACCAAGTAACATTTAATCTTTGAAATTCACTGTTATTTTATCAACAATACTTCTGCAGCAATAACATGTTGCACTTCCCTCACCTTGGTATTCTCATCATGTGCCTTCCACAACAGTGTAGTTTTGCATCATGCCTTTCATGTCAATCTTAAAATTATGCATCTTACAGATGTGTAAAAAAATTTTGTTCCTGAACAGGAGGACAACGGAACTTAAGACATGTTCCAAATACAACCGAGACTTTTTAAAGACAGACAAGTAGCATTTATTTTAAAACCGTAGTACAGGTTATACATTCAAGCTGGACAGACAGAAGTTCTTTGAATCCCTTCCACTCACAACTGGCACTAATAATGCTTTGTTTTTTTCTCCCCAGTCATGACTTCATTGGCTTTGTAGTATTTACCACCAGCACTTCACTATTTTGCAAGTTTTACGAATTTTGATGGGTTCTGAAAAAGTATTGCCTCTGCATTTCTTTTGGGACAGCAACCCTTTGTCATAGTTTGTAAAGGCTCCCTTGTGTCACTGAAATACGGTTATACTAAGGAGCATGTTCATGTTTATACATTTAAAGCAATTAAAAAAAATATTTCAAAATGATTTTTTGGCTGAGAACTAAGCTGCAGTGAGTGATGTAAAAGAAAAGCAGTATTAAAAAAGGGGAAGGAAACACTCCTACTTGAGCCACACCAGCTGGGCAGATTGGAACAGTGCGCTGGATGTCTGCGAGGGAGTCAGATCAAGGATTACCAAGAAGCCAGGATTTTGAGTCAAAGCCTAATGTTCCTTGAAGTAGATTCTATAAACCAGGACAATGTTGCTAAGCTGCTCAACTGAAGGTTGTGGACTTAGTTGCTCCTTTGAACATTTGTGTCTCTTAACATTGATGCTTCACAAGAAAACTGGAACTCGGTGGAAAAACACAGAATTAGCCATGACAGTAAAGGCACCAAATTTTAGCAAAACTGCAGCAGTGAAGTATGACCTTCAGTTTAAAGTTGTTTGCTGCTGCTTTTTTTTTTTTTTTTAATAATCAGAGTTGCCTCAGTCACATCAACAGAGATGCTGCTGGATAAATCCGATCTACGTGTGTGTATTCCTAAGTTTTAGAAGCTAATATGGTCTCTGTCATGATGGTTTCACTGGCCAAGCAGACGAAGTTGTCATTACATTTTCGAGAGACTTCCCAGAAAGCATGTGTGTAGCATTTCTGAAGCAGCATCAAAAATTGATTATCTACAAATTGAAAAGCTGAAAGCTGAGACAACATAAAGAATATCTGTATTTTGTTGGCTAAAACATGACATTGTACCACAGAATAACAGATTGTATGATTTACTTTGCTTACAGAACAACATTGTTGTTTCCTGAAAGATATCTTCCATTGAATGAGAGAAATATGACAACATTTAAAAGCTTAGAGTAACATCAATTTGGTTACCTTCTTAAAACTGATAGCAACTGAACTAATTTCTATTCAGTTAAAAAAAAACAATCAAAAAAATCCCTCAAGTTCTAGCAATGGAACATAAAAGTTCTCAAAAGTTCTCTGTAAGGCAGTGGCAGGAATACTTTCCATGCTAGAAGGCAAAAATTACATGAACACAACTAATTCAAGTTTGAAAGAACCAGTGACACATCATGACATAAGTCAGTCACTACCTTTTCTGCAAAATGGCATGCAAAGTAATACTTGAAAAGTGACTAAGAAGCATCCTTTCAAGCTGTACTTTACAATTCAGGCATATGCTTGCCAGCAAAGCTGACATACATAATCACGCATTCTGCACATACCCAAGGCACACTAGCGCTCGAGATTTTTCAACTCAACACACGCAAACACCGATTTAGTCTAAAAGAACCTCAAAGCTCCTGAAGTACTTTGTTGCTAATACACTATCAGAGAATCTGCCTACTGACTTCAGTTGTCACCTCAGAGTTTTAGATCTTCAATATATTTAGCACAGTCATTTACAAGCAGCAGAAGCTTGCTGCCTGCCAGTCATCTACATTAAATGTGAAATTTGTCAAAGTGAGTTCCTAATTTGTGAGCAAGTACTAGCCAGACTCTGCTGAAGGAGTCCACCACACTTTCTCCTGCAGAACGCACGTGTCATAACTCACACTCCTTAAACTACTGCTACCTGGGAATAAATCCAGATACAATCTGAGGCATGGGGGTGGGGTGAGTAAACTCAGAGGAAGGGGATGAAAGAAATAGCTGTTGGGGTATGAAAAGGCTGAAGAGGGGATTTAAAGATAACTTTCCTTTTGCTACTACCACATCCACATAACATGACTCAGCAGGAGTACAGCTAACCTCTTAAACCTGTTAGACACAAAAAAAGAGTATTAACTGTTTCCAAGAATGCAAACTGAGCTACCAACTGCCAAATGTAAGGGTTCCTTAAGGGGACTAGCACTTTACCAATTCCAACATTCCCCTCCACCCCGCCCCCTGTGGCCTTTCAAACTAACATACGTAAAAATAAGTACACGATAAGCGTGTAATACAAAGAAAGCATGTTTCATTGAGTTAATTTCCATACAAAATAAGTTTCTGATGCAAGTTTCATACATGCAAAGAAAGTGAACAACGAATCTGTAAATAAATTTTTTTGCTTAGTTCTATGTGTGCCAAAGTGATTCTCTTAATAAGCAACTTTAAACAAGTTATTGCTTCAAAAGGTATTTAAAAGGTATTGCTTCAAATTCTCAATAAAAAAGCCCTACAGTAGTAAAAAAATCACTTACCAGTGCTCATATTTGTTTTAATGAAGTCCAAAAAGTGAGAAGACGTACATACTGAATTCTAAAAGTTTAAATATTAAGAATTGATAAGAGAAAAACAGCTTGGTGATAACTTAATTAGCTCAACTAATTAGCAGAGAAAAAGCAGTACTTAGTCCACTTGCAAGAAGAAATTATGAAGGCTGACCACTATATTTGCTTAAAAAATATCCAACATCAATAAAGAAAATATGAATAAGATCATCTCATCCTCATTTTAATCAATATTTCTGAAAATGCTTTTAGCAGGAAGTTAGTTATTCCATATATAGTAAAAAAAAAATCTGCACTGATTGTTCTGTAACGACAGGTCTAGTCACATGAGCATGTAATTACTTACAATTCAAACAAGTCTGTAAGCATTCAAATCCCAAAAGTAAAAAATGGAATTCAAGGGTAAAAATATTGGTAATCATAATTACTTACCTGTAATTTGAGCATGTTTGGAAACATTTTGCCACTGAACAGATCTAAGAATACACTTTCACTACTGAAGAGTATTATCTTGGCAAGATCTTTCTGATAGTTTTCAGTGAGACCCTTCCAAAGTTCAATACTAAACCCAAAACTGCAACCATCACTGATGCAAACTCATACAACATACCTTTCACTTAGATTTGATGCTGTCAGTGCTGCTACAGAATCAACGGTAGCCAGCTTTGACTACAATCAGAGCAAGTTACTTTAAGGATTATGACATAAGACTGAAGATTTTCTTCCGGGCCTAGTTCATTCCAATTAGGAAGTGAAAACAAATTGTGAAAACTTCTAAAATCACTTCCCAACCTTTTACAGGAAGTACCTGTAACAGCAACATGGAATTCTTAAACAGATGAGGCACCTGCTAAAGAAACTGCAAGATGACAGTGTAG